TTTGTTATACCTCTTTTCAGCAATCCGAAGGCAACAAGCTAGCGAAAAAAAGGAAAAATTTTCTAAACTTTCATACATAAGGCTTTTAGATAGGCTGGATATAACTTACAAGTTCCGCAGACTGATATGCTTTGGGACCAATCCATCGCCAGTCATGAGCCACGAAAACTACAACGAATGCAGCAATTGTTCCAGCAATTCCAATCATGTTGAGAGTGCGATGGAACTTAAATTCAAAAACTTTGGAAGACATTTTGACAGAAAGGTACTTGTAGGCTTACATGAAACCACATCTTGAGGCCACATAGTGTGGTATCGGGGAAATGCCCTTTGAAATTTCGGGCAAAAAGAATACCAGTGGAAAAAAAGATTGACCATGAGAGAACCATTAATATACCTGAAAAAGAGGCTGCAGTTTAGTCAAAATTTCGTATTTGAAATTTTTTTGGGCATAAAAAAGCCAAGGCTTTTACCGTGTGCTATCATGAGCCGGTCATTGGTCGACCTGCCACCTTCGTCACGTCCCAAACCTGAACAAAAAATTTAGATTCAAATAGAACGAAATCTGTAAAATGCCAACCTCCGACGAATCCTACACCTCGCACATAGGCAGACATCACTGTACGTGGTAGTACATAGCGATTATTTCCATGATAGTTAAGTCCTGTAAGAAAATCAGGCTTTTACCTTCTTGCCCCAATCGGACCAAAGTTACTTACTATTTCCCTCAACTGGGCCACTGGAGAGCAATATGTAATAGGTTCCGTTGAGATTTACCAACCCAGCTTCGTTTGAATCTATGCGTTGGCTAAAGAATTAGCTATTGAGTACGTAGTACATCACAAGGGCATATTTGAGGATATAGACTGAATTTTCAAGTTTTGATAAAATCACTGAAAAAATCTGCTTTCTTGATGTGATCTATTAGAAGAAGTATTGGATCATGAAGGTAATTTTAAACAAAAGATTAAATAGTTTTAAAAATGTGCGACTTCGTCCATAACAAAGAAATTGTTACCTTTCCACCCCAACCTTTTGCAAAAAATCTGGAAAAATAGCCAACATTATTATTTATAATCAAATATAATAGACAAAC